TGCTCTTATCATCACTTCAAAGCTTTGCACAGAGAAGGACGTAATGAGCTAGACTTGCCCGGAATTACTCAGCTAAGTAAGTGGTGAAGCTAGAATTTGAACTTATGTCTGACTCCAAAGGCCATGTTCTGATTTTCATTTCATTTTATCACCAAGTAAAGGGGAGCTCCCTCCCAGCTTGCCTAAGACAGTGTTTTTCAAACTAACTAAGGAGTCATGAGATCAGTCTGTGGGTTGTAGTTTAAATAACAAAATAAAATAGAGGAAGAATAGAATAGAATAGAAAATGGAGGTTTCGAAAAACTTTTGTTTCTGTAAGGTCTGTGCTTAAAGACATTTATCTTTCAGAAGAAAAACAGCCCCCATCCCATTACACAGGGCTCCTATGAGGACTAAATGAACTGATATAGGCAAAGTGCTTAGAACAGAGGCTGACACAAATTAGGCATTATGTAAATATTATTATTATGAGGTATGCACATGCATAAATAAATGGGTCATGATGTAAAATGGATGGGGATGGCAGATGTTTTTGCAGTTTTATTGAGACACGGCTGCCCTCATTCATTACATATTGTTTATGGCTATTTTTGAGCTATAATGGGCAGAGTTGAGTACTTGCAACGGAAACTGTGTGGCCTATAAAACCTAAACTATTTACTGCCTGGCCCTGCCTGGACGTCATCTCAGGGATATGAGACACTTCTTCCTGGGCCTGGTTGTCTTGTCCTGCCACTGCCCTGGCAGGCACTCCTGGCCATGCAGACCATGCCAGATGGTGTGACTGCTCTGCTCTTGGGTATCCAGAAGCTCAATACCCTCTTACCTGGACTGATGTCCACACTTTATCCACCTCACGGCTGTTCATAGTGGATAGCACTGATCAGTGCCCCAACAGAAAACAGATGGCCACTCAAATTAGATGAATTCAAAGAGTGTTTAATAAAGAGGCTGTTTACAAAGGGATGGGCAAGGTGTGGGAAAGACACAAGGGACAGCTAGTCCTATGAGGCTAGTTAAAGCAGAGTTCCTGCCACCTCGACAGGCGGGGGCAAGGAGAGGGGGCAGCTCCTGAACCTGGAAGGGGTCTGTCATTTACAGAGGATGCTTTAAGGAGAAGCCGAGGTGTTCGGTCCAGGGACTGAGAGCCAGCTCCAGCTGAGCCCCCTGGGAGGGAGCCAGGAGAGTAAATGCCTTGACCTCACCTCCTCCCTCCTTCATCTCCTGTTGGGATTTCCACTGGCCAAACAAATGGAAGTCAGAGGACACAGGATCCATTGGTGTGGTCCACATGGGTCAGAGAGCAGAGTGCAGAGGTAGGTAAGGGGCTCTGGAGGGGCAGACCTCAGACACCAGCACACACAGCACTGATCTAGAAAGCAGGGGGCAGTTACCCTCTGGAAGCTTCAGACAAAGGACCCTCGGCCCCCGCTTCATCCCTCCATGTTAGGGATGTGACCCGAACAACCAAGGACTGCCATAGCTTTTACGCTTTTATATCTTTTCTTCCTAGATCTGGTGGGCCCAGATGGTTATCATGGGTTCATCTTGTGAGCCAACCTGTGGCCTCTTGGGAGAAAAAGTTGGAGTGGAAAAAGCGACTTGGGCTGACAAATGTCCTCAGTAATTGTTCTCATGGCCAGGCCCCTCTCTCCTCTGCCCTAGCCCAGACGTTCTCAGCTGGCACCTGGTATCTCAGAGGACCCCAAACCCAGCCACAGAACTATAGCATGTCAGCTGGAGGGCCTGTGCTGGCCAGTCCACCACGCTGATTTTATAGATGAGAAATCATAAGCTCACGGCAAGAAAGGGGATGGCTTGGGTGGCCCTCAGCAGCGCTTGGGCTAGAATTCAAGACTGGGTCTCTCGTCGGTTTCCACCCTTCTTTCACACAAGATGGAAAATGAAGTCAATCTTGGGGCCCTTGGAATGGACTTGGCAAAAATTCTAAATGCAGTCTAGTCTTCGGCAAGTTTCTTTGTCAGGCTCACCTGGACCCTCGGCCCTCACAGGAGCAGTTAAGTTTTCTATCAGAGGGAGGAAGCAAGGCCTGAGTCAGGCAATGAGTCCAAATCCACACTCCCACCTATTCCTGGCTGTTTTACCTTAAATAGGTTAAGTTTTATGTTAATGAGGCTCAATTTTTCTAGTCCTATCATCAACCACTGAGTTATATTAACTCCATTATCATACAAGCAAGTACCCCTTGATGACCAAAGGTCAACACTTGAACTTTACTTTTTCTTCCAGTTGGAAGACTGGTGGGATATTTGCGACTGCTTTTACAAAAGGCCAGAGGCCCAACCTATTTGAATGTAGCTGTTAGACCTGGGCCTTCTAACCCCAAGAAGTGGGGAACCCTGAAATGAGTCCACCTGATATACCAAGCATTAGATCTCAAATGCAATTAGCAAAACGTCAGGGTTCTCCTCCCTTCTGCCCTCCCCCCTCCCTCAAATCTCTTCAGAGGAAGAAGAATTTAGACTTACAGCCCAAGTGCTCAGGTTTTAAATCAGACAACTCTGTCCTGACAGGAAGCGAGTCAAAGCTGTCACGCCTGATTATTTTTAGAGTTACTACTGAACTCTTTGTGCAGTGTGAGCTGCCACTATTCGAAGCAAACAGAAAGGCTTCCCATTTTATCACGACAGCTCTGGAGCCATCCACCTCCTCGAGTTCCTTACTTCCAGCCTGTCTTTGGAAGGGATGAAGCGGCATTTGTCAATGTTACGGCAAGGAAGGCAGGTCCCATGGTTTGTTGCTGCAGCTGAGGAAGCGAAGCTGAGCAAAGCTGATGCCTCCAGGAAGCCAGGGAGAAATAGTCCAGGGAAAGGCCCTACTAAATAGCTTTCTCCAAAAAAATCGTTATCTTTCATGAGAAGCCAAAAAATTGACCATTGCGTAGCCAACCAATGAGAGTCCCTCTATGCAAATGCCAAGAGTGGCTAGTGTGTGGATGATGTCACAATCCCCTTCTACGACCTAATAATGTCACTACCACTGAAAAGGCCGGCCCCTGCCTGCAGCTCTCACAGAGAGGACAATTCACCACAAGCAGAGCACCTTCTAGATTGCTCCTGGAGTGTGGGGACAAAAGTCTCTGCTGTCCAAGTTACTGAATCCAGAAAAATATGATCTGATGAACATGGCGAAAGAAATCCAGCTAAGGCCCAAGGTTAATGTCTCTTCTTACATCCATTTCTTATTGAATTACAGAAACAAGTTTAAGGAGCAGCAGCCAAATACCTTCCTTGGCTTTAAAGAGTTCTCTAGAAAGTGTTCGGAAAAATGGAAGTCCATCTCAAAGCACGAAAAGTCCAAATATGAAGCCCTGGCCAAGCTCGACAAAGCCCGATACCAGGAAGAGATGATGAACTATGTTGGCAAGAAGAAAAAGCGCCGAAAGCGGGACCCACTCGCGCCCAGGCGGCCTCCATCATCCTTCCTACTCTTCTGCCAAGACCACTATGCCCAGCTGAAGAGGGAGAATCCCACCTGGTCCGTCATACAGGTGGCTAAGGCCTCCGGGAAGCTGTGGTCTGCAAAGTCTGACACAGAGAAGCAGCTGTACGAAGAGAGAGCGGCTATCCTGAGAGCTAAGTACTACGAGGAGCTCAAAGTCTACCGCGAGCAACGCAAGGCCAGGAAGAATCTCAGACGGTCGGCGAGGAACCCGTGCAGAGGGTGCAGGCAGGCCAAGGCCGCTGCCGCTGGTGGCTCCCATTAGAAATAAAAGGCCATTCAACTGTACAGCCTGTCCCTGGTCTCATGTGTGGCGTTAGAGTGGCCGTGAATGCTGCTTGCCGGATTTGAGAAACGTGGTAGGGTTTGGAAACCGATCGGGGGAGGGGACAACTTTGAGAGAAGTGGCAACAGTGTCCAAAGGGATATGTGTGGTCAGAACCTACAGGGCTTCATCTGGGCGGGGGTTGTGGGTGTGTGAGTCTCCAGGTATTAAGATCTAGGAGTCATGAAGGAAGGAGTCTCCAGTTCCAAGTGGTTATCCAGGGTGGGAGGCCCTGCTCAGGGTCACAGCCTTCCTCAAGGCCAGGTCTGTGAACACTGGTCCTGCCAGCCTCCTCACCAGGAGGTCAGAAGCCTGGAGTGCAGGTGGGCCTTAGGGGACTGCGTGTCCCCATAATTCAGAACAGGTCCTGCAGCATAAACCACAGCCCAGTGAGGCTAGGATACCATTAGCGCCGGATGAACCTCCAGTGGTGGTCCCTATCGTGGTGAGGATGAAGCTCGGGGCTGATTTTATGAAAACAGCTGCCTGATGGTGCCCCAGGTCCTAGAAGTTGGAGAAAACCCTGTTGATATTTTGGGGGCACCCACCCATTTCTCTGTGGAGATAAGGATAGCATACAGAGAACAGAGATGTGCTGCCTTTATCACCACATGGCATTCATGCTTTTCCCTCTTGCCTACTGGCAGCCTGTCTCAGCCCAACCAAAGTTTGATGAGATGGAATTCCCCTGGCCTCAGTGATTGGTTCAGTGATGAGCATGTGACCCACATTGGTCCAATCAGAGTGGGTCTCAGGACTTGTGCAAGGAGTCCTAGCGGAGGAGGCAGCCCTGGGGGCTGATGACAATCATTTGGCTCATTGTCAGGCTGAACTCATCACTGAAGATGGCCCCACATTTCAGGTTTTCTTTAAGATGGTTTGACTTAGGTTTTCTGCCACTTAAAAGGAGTCAAAACAGGCAAATTTGTACCAGGAACTGTTCTGGGTTTGTCTGTACTGTAACTATTTTTCAGGCAACAATATACTGTGGGCAACATTTAATACCAATCAATATAGATTCAGATGGAATATTTTAAAATGGCTCTCAACTTCTTGACATCAGATAGACTGGGCCTACCTGCAAGCCTGCTTTTTTTGTCACCAGGCTATGCATGCAACAGACTTCCCTAGTCCCACCTCCCCCCCTTAGTCCCTGATGGACTTATACTTTATACTCTACTGTTTCAACTTTTACCTTCAAAAGTGAAAAAGACATATTTTTGAAAAGTCAGAACTGGGTGAACCTTGAAGAGGAGAGGTAATATGGCGTCATTTAGAAATTCAGGGTCTAAAATCAGGCAGGAATCCTGAATTATGTAGGACTCCCATGTGTCAGACCCTGTGCTGGGTGCCAGGAAGTCCAACAGGGACTACTGTTAGGTTCCTGCCCGGCAAGAATGTTCCTTCTGATAAGAATGGAGGACGTGGGCATAATCCACAGCACTGCAAGGCAGGATGAGGAAAGGGAAGACTACACAACATGCTGGGGCAGGATGAGTACCACTCACCAAGGCAACCACTGAAGTCTTCCCGGAGGAAGCAGCTTTATGCTACTTGGCAACCTTGCACTCATGCTGACAAGGTTCCCGTTCTCATTCCCCATAGCTGCTGTTCCAGCTTGCCTTGGCATCCCCTGCAGCCCAACCTCCACTCACCCAGGAGACACCCACATTTTCTATTTCACTGAGAAAATAGAGATCATCAGACATAAGTGTTCTCAGTTTTCTTTTCAACATGCAACCACACCCATCCTTTCCTCCTGGTCTCATGGAGAGCTATAACAATCTTGCTAACCCCTTCCCTTTCTCCCACAGGCCGTGCACTTCACTGTAAAGATGCTGAACCTCAGCCTCTAAGCTTGCACAGATTAGCTTGGTGTCACGATACAAGTGCCTCCCATCTTAACCTTCACAGGACCTTGGGCAAGTTCCCAATCCTCTGTCTCGGGCTTCTCATCTATGCAATGCAGTAATGCCTGCCTTACAGATTGTTTTAGTTAGTAAATGATGTAACACATACAAAAGTATCTGCCATAGCCCTTAACACATAATAGGGACTGTGGTGAACACCCTCTAGGCTCTCCCATGGCTCCCCTTCCCCACACCCACTGTACCGATCCCCTCCCATTAACTGTGGGTAGAATCTCTGACTTGCTTCCAACCAATAGAGTAGGGCAAGGAGGACGGGAAGCGAATTCCATAGCTATGTGATGATAGTCTTGTTGGTTGATTGGCTCTAGGGATTCTCCTTGCTGGTTTGACAAAGTAAGCTTTCAATCTGGGGAAGCCCATGTGGCAAGGAACAGTGGGAAGTCTTAGGAGATGAGGTGGCCTCAGACCAATAACCAGCAAAAAACTGAAGGTCTCAGTCCTACAACTACAGAAACTGCAGCAACCACACGAGTGGGAAAGTAGGTCCTTCCTCAGCTAAGCCCTAGAGGAGGACTCAGCTCAGGATGACACCTTGATTTCAGCCCTGTGAGACTTCAAGCAATGGACCCAGCTGAGCTGTAACTGGATTCCTGATCCCCCAGAAAACAGGGAGATAATAAATGTATGTTGTTTGATGCCAATAAGCTTAGGGTGATTTGTTACCCAGCAATAGATAACTAATACAATACTCAATAAATGCCATCTTCCTTATAATTCTAGAAGAGACGGTCTTTAACAGTATTTCTCCTTCCAGTCTCCACCCTACCTGTTTAATTTCCTCTCCTCTGTTACCAATTGCTTGAAGCTAGAGGAGCACCCCCAGTGCTCATTCGATCCTGACTTGAACTACTTGGTAATGTTTCTAGTTGCACTGTCTTGTTTCCAGTCTGACCTGTGGGCTCTTGGTGGGTGCAGCTACACAGCTGGGCCCCAGCCCTCCTGCCACCTCTTTCTGGTTTCCTGTGTGATTAATTATGTCAATGTGGGTGGCCAAGTCAGCGTTTTTGACAACAGTTTGCAGCGACCCTGCTGAAAAATAACTCCATTAACATTTCTTTATGAAAAAGCCAACAGGAGGGTGCGAATCTGCTGGCTTCTAATGACTATAATGTAATGACAGTGAAGGGGGAGGCAGGGAAGGGCGAGGAGAAGGGGGGAGCCTGTGCTTAAGGTAATGGGTGACAGGAAAAGCAGGTGGAAACTCTGGTGTGGTGCCTGCATTCCAGACCCGCTCCACTGGCCCAGTTGATTCTCCTTGTGGGAAGAGGAAGGCAGGGTCTTTGGGCCCGTCACCCTCTGGTTGTTGACGAAAACGCTCTACTGGGCTCTTAGAACCTTTTCCTGTGTCCATTAACTCATTCATCTATTCATTTATTCAACAAATATTTATGTAAATGTTAGGCCTGCAATAGACTAGGAACTGTCCTGATGCTATGGATACAGCAAGGTCCCTGATCTCTTACATTCCAGTAAGGGGGAGACAAAGACTAAGTCAACAAACACACCAGGTCATTTTTTGAAAGTGTCAAGTGTTCTGAAGAAAATAAATCAGGGCAGTGAGCTTGGCAGTGATATGTGGGGCTGATGGCACCTTAAATGGGTGGTCAGAGATGACATGGGGGTTTGGATTTAGAGGGCAAGAAGGAGCCAGGCATGTCAGGGTCTGAGGAGAGTTCTTCAAGCAGCAGGACAGCAAGTGCAAAGGTCCTGAGGCAGGAGCAAGCTTGGCATATTGAAGGGATGTCTGAAGGTGTGAGAGTGTTGGTGAGATGAGGCTGGAGAGGGGCAGGCATTATCAAGTTTATTTTGAAATCTAAGTGCAACTGGGGAGCCACAGAGCATGAAGAGCCATATGCTTCCATCCATAACTTGCAGTTACTGGTCATTCTCGAGTCTTCAGAGACTATCAAATGCCAACAAGGGGATGTTAGTCCCTCCACAGTCTGTGAGAGAAACAGGTGTGACTAGCAAATATCAAATCTGTGACATTTATCCCTTTTGGAGAGGAGACTCTACCTGGCATTCTTTGTAGCAGCTGCAAGCTAAAAAATCCACTATGGAACTTCTCTTAGGTTTCATTTTCTAGGAATAGGGGTGAGGGGTGGGGGAAGGTGGGCATAGCTGGGAGAATGCTCCAGGGCAACATTTCTTCCTGGGTCTCCTATTTCCATGCGGAACAGCTACCATAGACCAGTGGGTCTCTGCTCTGACCTGTATTAGAATCACCTCCGAGCTGAGTAAAACAGATTGTGGGCCCATGACTAGTTAGAGGCAATGTTTCCGGGAGTCGCACCTATACTTTGCATTTCTAAAAGTTCCCATGTGGTCCTGAGGTTCCTGTTCCCAGGCCACAGAGGAATTCTCTCCCCCTTGCAGCCTGGCGGCCTGGTTCATCTGCTTGGTGAGTTGGGAGGAGGCGTGACCATGCTCTTCTTTCTCCACCCCCCACCCCCGCTGTGGAGTGTGTTCAGGTCTGCTCACCACTGGCTTCATCAGTAGTAAGGGTGACAGGCTGATCCTCATCTGTCTTTCTCCCATACCTGCCAACTGATTCTGAACTCATAGGGGAAGAATGTATTTATTTATTGGGGTTCCCTCAAATCCCAACAGCGAAGTTGGTCCCAGTTGCAAACAATCAGCTGGTGTTGGGTTATGTATTTATTTACTGGGGTTCCCTCAAATCCCAACAGCGAAGTTGATCCCAGTTGCAAACAATCAGCTGGTGTTGGGCCACACAGCAACATGGGATCGTATAGCTGATTGCCGCCTCCACCAAAGGCTGAGGTCAGGTCCATGGAGAGGGTGAGGCCATCAGGGTGAGGTCACAAAGGCACTGACACCCTTCTGTCCTGGCCTGCGCCTCGAATCACACTCCCACAAGCACCACCTGCCACAGGTGTGCAGGAGAATACATGAAATGTCTGGGATGTCACTGTACATGAGGCCTGGTGTGCAAGAAGTGTTCCATGAACCGGGGTGCCTGCCCTACATATAAAGGATGGTTTAAAGGTGAGAACAACACACAAAACGCA